GAGGTGGAGGTGATGAGACTGGTGGTGGTGGGGAATGAACTGGAGGTGGCATTGGTTTTGGACTTGGCACTGGAGGTGGAGGTGATGATATTGGTGGTGGTGGGGAATGGACTGGAGGTGGAGGTGATGAAGTCGGTGGTGGTGGGGAGTGGACTGGAGGTGGAGGTGATGGTACTGGTGGTGGTGGGGAATGGACAGGAGGTGGAGGTGATGAAGTCGGTGGTGGAGGGGAGTGAACTGGAGGTGGAGGTGATGATACTGGTGGTGGTGGGGAATGAACTGGAGGTGGGGGTGATGAAGCTGGTGGTGGTGGGGAATGGACGGGAGGGGGCATTGGTTTTGGACTTGGAACCGGAGGTGGAGGTGATGACACTGGTGGTGGTGGAGAGTGAACTGGAGGGGGCATTGGTTTTGGGCTTGGCACTGATGGTGGAGGTGATGACACTGGTAGTGGTGGAGAGTGGACGGGAGGTGGCATTGGTTTGGGACTTGGCACGGGAGTTGGTGGGGGCTGAACTGGAGAAGGTTTTGGTTTTGGACTTGGCACTGGGGGTGGAGGTGATGCCACGGGTGTTGGTGGGGACTGAACTGGTGGTGACTTTGGTTTTGGACTTGGTACATGTTTGGGTGGGTTAGTCTTTGGTGGTTTAGGGGTTGAAGGGGTTTTCTTGGGTGGCATAGGGGTTTTTGGGTCCTTTGGGGCTGGTCCTTCACCGTTAGATCTACATTTATCTTTACTACAATCTACAATTTTACTTAAAACAGATTGACAATCTTTCTCACTCCTCTGGCCTGGTTTTCCTTTTAGACAATTTTCCTTATCATCTAACACTGGATTTCTTGGAAGTGGTGGTGCACAACCTTCATCCAAGTTTTCAAAATAATTGTAAGAGAATGTAAAATTAGCCAAATTTGGTAAGGTACAAATAGCCTTTGGAATTTCTCCTCTAAACATGTTAGATGCAATATCAAGTACTTCCACTTTTTGCATCAATTCCAAACCTCTAGGCAAGGATCCTACGAATTTATTTTTGCTAATGTCAAACACCTTTAGGCTCTTGAGCTTAGATATCTCTTCGGTCACACAACCAGAGAGATTGTTATTTGTGAAAACAAGCTCATCTAATGTGTTCTCCATTTTACCAATACTATGAGGAATGCAACCGTGGAACCTATTGTTCGCCAAAACCACCACAGAGGCATTAGAATTTCCAATATTTGGAGGTATAGTGGAAACAAATCGGTTATTGTTTAAGAAGATGGCATCAAGATTCTTATCGAATAGTTCAGAAGGAACTGGCCCTTCAAAATCATTAAACCTAATATCAAGGAAGTTAAGTTTAGGCAACTCCAAGACAATCTTAGGAAATGGCCCTACAAAACGGTTATTACTAAAATCAATCTCGTCTAAAAGCTTAAGATTGTTAATACTCTTAGGGATTATTCCACAAAATCTATTAGAATTGATATGAACAAGACTAACATCAGCTAGGAAACCAATCTCCACGGGAAGATGCCCCGCGATGTCTGCGTTATTAAGATCAATCCCAGCAACAACATTGATGTTAGGATCATCAAGTGCTTTATCACAAAAGACACCATTATATGCACAAACATTAGCACCCTCCCAATTACTAGTGAATTTTGAAGGATCTGAGTAAATCGCCTTCTTCCATGCTTGAAGAGCAATGTAAGCCCTCTTAAGCCTAGGATTTTCAAATTTCAAGTCAATATTCTTCTCATATTCAACTATATTAGGAAGATCACCAGTACCAGAAATGAGTTGTCGACGCGCAATGGAAGCTACTTCATCATTAGTTAATGCATAGGAAGATGATACAAGATTGAGAAGAATAAGAAGAAAAAAGCAACCTAAGGCCTTTATGTTTGGAGGAACTGTCATATTCTCTTTTTTTTTTTTGTGAAGACCCCCTAAGTGAGACCCAAGACTGCTTATAGAATCTTGTTGACAAGGAAAATGGATGGTGTTATATGGAGGTAAAAGAAGGATGGTTCAAGGTTGAGAGTTTGTTGATGTTTTCTAAATTAACCTCACACAATATTAGAGGGTCTAAACAATTCATACACAAACTTTGAGGAGAAACCATTGTTGATAACCATATTTTAACCTATTGAAAGGGGAAATCACCAATAATATATATATATATATATATATATATATATATATATATATATATTATTTTATTATTCTTTACCGTCTAAAACTAATGGACATTGTATTAGTTATAATATTTTCTTATTTAATTCATCACAACTTAGAAATGTTTGACTTCACAGTCACTATATCGAAAATGATCCAGTGTTGCTAAATATGTTTTTTTTAGAGACAATTAACGGATTATAGTGTGCATAACAGTTTGGTAATGCGTTACTGTTTTAAGTCAATGTTTACTCTAAGGAGTCCATGCATTATTGTTTTTTTTTCTTTGTCTCTTTTTCACCTCTAAGGTACTAGTTCGATTAATAATAAGTTTGAACATAATTTTAATTTGTACAGAAATATTTACGATCAAGGGCGAATATAGGGGGTCGTCAGGTGTTCATCCAAAATTTTGAGCAAGAAAATTACACCGTATATTTATCTTATATATATATGGACGGGTGCATTATAATACCAAAACTATTCCTCGAAGCGCATATAGTTCAACAAATATGAGAAAATAGAGTAGTATATACAAGTATACTTTCTCAATTTATTTTATTTCACTTTTAATCTATTTCAAAAAGTGACATTACTTCTGTATTTTGGAAATTGTATATTAGTATTATGTATTTTACTTCAAATATTTTACTCTTAATGACATGACTTGTTAAGTGGGATCAATAGTTGATATATGTTATTTTAAGTTAGATTTGATGTTTTGATGATTTAATAAATTTATGGATCTAACAAGGGACCTGGTCGATGAAAGACTGCGTACATGAAAAAGACGAAAGACAACTGTTGAAAAGTTGTGTCTACAAGGAAGAACACTGCTCATACTCAACAAAGGTCCGGATGGGATGTTGAAGCTAGCGTCTTTGTTGTATTTAGAGTTTTGTGTCTTGTGTTCTTATATTGCAAAACTACTCCTAAGTTATAAATGATAGTGGATCGGTTGCTTGTCTAAGTCTTTCGGTTGAGTCAAATTAACTAGAGTTAGTTAGTCAAATCATTTATGTTTTAGTCAATCCTCTTTACATCATTGTTTGGATGTTCTCTTGGGTAGAGTTGCCTAGGAGTTTCAACTAGAGTTAGTTGATGTACGGTGCAACAAAGCTGCTGCTTGTTTAAATTCCTATCTTTGAGATATGTAGTTGGTGGTTAGAGTTAGCCTTGTTGGTTAGTTGACGTTTAGATCAAGTAGAGTTAGTTGGTTTAGTGTGCAATAGAGTTATTGGTTAGTTCTTTCACCGTAGAGTTGCTATAATAAGAGAGAAGGGATTAAAGAGTTTTAATTCCTAGGTTATGAGAGTTTGTAATCTGAAGCTTTGCTCCATTTTGAGTGAAATGGAGTCTGGTTATAAATCATGTGAGTACAGATTGTGGTTTTCACCTACCTTGAGCAAGGAGGTTTTCATGTAAAAATTTCGTGTCTGATTTACTTTGAGCTATTTATTTTCTGCACTATTGTTCTGTTGAGGGACTAGGTGCAATGATTACTAACGGACGCATCTATTCTATCAATAAAAAAGTTTTTCTTTTTTTAAAAAAAAATAAATTATACAGGAAGCATAAAAAATGAAAAAAAATTACAAAGTGAAGAATTGTGACATTGTGAGCCTATCAAGACCAACAAGAGTAGTATATTAGAAAAACTTATAATGGCCTAATGGGCATACAATGAATAATAAAGTTGTCAATTTCAAACATTGATAAAATTACATGGTAGGCATTAATTCGTTATCATATTATTGTTTAAAGAAGAAGAGACAGTACATGATACCACATGCATGATAAACCCCTGACCCATACCATATTATATACTATTTTGGAAGTGACTTGATAGATTTAATTTACATGAAAATTAATAAAGAGATGTGCATGTAATGTTGTATTTTGTTTCAATGATTTGGCCAAACCATTGTTCAAGCATAAGACTCTTCTTCATTGATGGTTGCCAACACTTTAGGAATTGGACGCTTCACCACATATGTTGAATTTGAAGGACAAACTTCTGTTGCAATAATAAGTAATAATCTACTACTAATAATAATTATCTTAGCCATAATACTAATTAAGGAATTAAATAAGAAGAGTAACGAGAAATAAATAATACATATGAGTTGTTGTAATACATAAAGTTTGATGAACTTATATATAGTAGCACTGCGTAACGTGTTCAATACGTACGTAGTGTAACGTGCCGCTTCCTTTTTGTATTAATTGACTGAAAAAGACCAGAAAACCTGTATTAACCATGACAAATTATTACAATTGGATATGATTTCATTATTGACCTTATCGGAGGTAAGCCAAAACTTTTTTTTTTGGTTTCTCACTCGGTGTCGGAGCCTACATTTGAGCTAAGACTAAATCCAAATTGTGCTTTGCATGGCCCATCAGGGGTGACACTCCCAACCATATTTTCTCATCAGACCTGGGGTTCGAATCCGAGATCTCTAGTTAAGGATGAAGCACTTCCATCAGTGTGTCACAACCCATGTTGACAGGTAATTAAGCCTAAACATACTCATCTGTCTCGTGATACTTTTCATTTTTCGACAATCAAAACTGTTTAAGTTTGACCGAGAATTTGCGCATGAAAAAAAATCTTCAAATTTTTTAAATGAAATTTATATATATATTTGTAGATTACGTTAAAAGTATTATAAGTTACAATAATTAATTTCAAATTATTTAAAAGATCAATGAAATACTTATGGTCAAAGATAGACTTAATTAAATTTTAAAATTCAAAAAATAACATATAAAATATGACGGAAGAAGAAATTACGTTCATACTAATTCAAACTACATTATTGTCTCATAAAGATGAAATTCATTGAATTAAATTGATCATCTTTGATTGTAAAAGAAGTATGTGGAGCTTTGTATATCTAGAAGTACAAGAATATTGTTGATTTGCTCATATGACTATAGATCAAACCTTTCGATTACAATATGATGATTAATTGTTCACGACAATAAACTTAATTTTAATTATTGAGCTATGACACAAGAATGTTGATTTGTTTTCATTATGATCTAGATGTCTAAATCTAAATATAAATTTAAATGATTAAGATATAATGATGATTGTGATAAAAAAGATGGTTAGTGATGATGACTGATGATCGTGAATCGCTCATAATGAATATCATCCACACAACTGATACCTCTTAATAATTTTAAAACTCTCTTCTAAATTTTAATGATTAAGACCTATTCTTAATGATATATATTAAACATATTTATGAGCAAATATTTTTTTAAATTCCATTTCTATATATTTTGATGAATAAATTAAAACATTCAAATAACTCCAACAACGTTTGCTGCCCCTGTTTAGTTTGGGACTAAAAAGTTGTGGTTGAAATCTTGTGTTATCTTGACCTGCCTCAAGACTTATCCAGATTAAGCAGGGGACCAGAGTCCATAGCCCAATTGGCATTTGCAGCATAAAGTATTAATTAGTGTTTGATAGTTGGTTATAGTTATATATGTATTAATGAAAAAGAGACAGATTTAGCTCTGAATTTTAATAAAAAGTGTGTATATATCCTCCGTTATACTATGCGTACACGTATATTGCTACAATTCAATTAGTGGTACATATATAACCTTGTCACTAACGGATCCATATTTTATAACACGTGTCATGATCCTAATACTATCCGTTTCATCCCTTTTTTAACCTATAACCCGCCCCATAACCCATTAAAAGAAGGGATCCCTTAAAAGAATCCTAAATACACACCTTAATTGAAACACCTAAAGAAAAATCCGCCGTCTTCGTCTGATTCAAGTTCGTCTTCATCGCGATGATCATAATTTCAAATTTCATCTATCATGTGTTGGTCATAATTTTCTATTTCATCTACCTGTCGACTCCTTTAATTCAGACCTAAAATCATGTCTGAAAGTTCATGTGGTTCAATTAGTAACTCCATGACTATGACTTATTTTTGTGGTGAATTGACTCGTTGTTTCACTTCAAGGACTCCATTGAACCTGAAAGAAGATTTTATAGATGTTCTATCCCTAAGGTACATTTTTCACCTAACAGGAAATGAATATGATTTGTGATTGTATTTTGGTGCTCATGATTTCTTCTCTGTTATTTTTATTAGATTGAAAATTGTGGATTTTGGAGGTGGGAAGACAGTTCTTCAGAAAATTCTTCTATTGAAGCCAATTTATTGAAGTTTAAATTGCAAGTTGCTAAGTTGAAAATGGAGAATTTGAGAGAATCATTGAATGCGGTTAAGATTGAAAGAGACAATTTGAAGAAAAAATTGAAGAATTTAGAGAGTTTAAACTACTTCGAGGTGAATAAATCAAGAAATTTGGAAGCTAAAGTGTCGAAGTTGAACATGTTGTTCATATTGCCATTTACTGTGTTTGTGGTATTTGTTGTTGCAATTTTCAAGTGTTAGTCATTTCAATTGTTTCTTATGTATTAGTGATAGTGAATCTTATGCTTGAATATTGATCATTATTTTCAAGTGTTGCTTCAAACTTATTGTAAATTTCAAGTGTTGGATTTGAAACATTATTTTGTGTCTTTTGCCTTGAAGATTGTAGTATTTTGTTGTGTTATATTAGTCTTTACGTTGAAGATGGATAAAGTTTGTGGTATTGCCACTATGTTTTTCTTGAATAAATGTTTCATATCTTAACTCATTGTTTCCATAAATTAGAAAGTAAAAGCAACATTGGAAAGGTATATAACAAAATAAGAATAAAGAGCAATGGAAAGAAACATAACAAAACAACTTAAGAAAAGTGCAACTCATCTCAAATCACAAACTGCATACTACATTAACAAAACACAATAGATATAAGACATTATATATAACATTCACTTGGTCATATATAAGTAAAACGATAGTTAGTTTTAGCTGATACGCTCAGTCTATACAAAAACTAAAAGTGAACCAAAACTACAACTATAAGTTTAAGGCACCATCCTACACAAAACATACCAAAAAAATAAGTTTAGCCTTAACATCATTTAAGGCACCAACCTACACAAACAGTAGCAAAAACTGCACCAACATATACAAAACAGTACCAACACAATAGCATCATCCCCTTTTTGGCCTCAACTTCTGTAGCTGATTTGTAGTAACTGCATCCTGCCCATTCCAAGTTAAGCCAGTTGGTGCTATGGGGAGATTTGTAGGTTCACTAACACAAAATTTGTCACCTATGAAGCCTATTACTCTACTCCCAATTGGTTCTTGTGGGTTCGGTCTCTTTCTCAATCTTGATAGAAAAGATTTTTCTGAGATTGTCCTTGGCCTTAGCCTAGGGTCATCATCATCATCCTCCGCTACTGGAAAATAGCTGCTAGAAGAAGCACATTCAAACTGACTTTCTTGTGTTGGTTGTGGGGTTGTGCAGTTGATGTCTTCCTCATAAGCTTCATCTTCATATTCATCAACTAAATCTCTCCTAGGCTGCCTCTTTTTTCCCTTGCCAATTTTTTTCTTCCTTAGCAGGTTGTTTCCTCTGTTTTGCCTTATTAATCATAATAGAAGATATAGAATTAAATAGTGAAATAGAATAAGTATTTAATACAATTAAAGATTAAAGAGAAATGAAATACCTTTTCACATCCTCTTGCATTATGATTGTGTTCTCCACAATTACTACATGTCATCACTTTTCCTTTTCTTGTTTGCTTCCATACTCCTTGCCTGTTAACAACATCATTCTTTTCTCTTTCCCTCATTAGCTTAGGTCTACCAACAAGCTTGACCAATTCTTGTGGTTCAATAGCATGAAAAAGTTTGGATTTTCAGAATGGTTCTCCCATAACAGATTGTAATTTGTGTTTGTAAACTGCCAAGGCTGCCTCTTTACTATAATAAGAATGAATTTCCTTTTTTGTATCATTTTCTTGTGCTCCATGGGCTTAATTGCATGTGGGCATGGAATTCCAGTCATATCCCATGTTCTTCATATGCATTTTTTCTCTCTTAAGTTGACAATGTGTCTATCTGCACCTTCAGTGACCTCATAGCCATTATCCTCATTACCACTCACCTTACAAACCTTGAAAATCTCCAAATACTCATTAAACAACAAGTCACTTTTGGGAATAAATCCATCATCTTTCCACTTCATCACAACAATCTCTTTTGCTGCCAACCTCTCCATTATTTTGACCCTAATGTCTTTCAACATTTCAATTATTGGCTTGTACCTTGCTTCAAGTATTCAGGCATTGAATGATTCAGTAAAGTTATTGTCCACAGCTTGATTTTTGCACATTATCTAAATAGGCTCTGCACCATGCTTTTGGAGGATACTTGTCTATTAAATCTTGTCCAGCCTCTCCATTAACTTTCTTGATCTCTTGAAGTTGGTCCTCAAGCTCCTCTGTAAATGATGACCATGCAACCCACCATAGCAACTTTTTCAGCTCACCTTTGCCCCATCTTCTGCACCAATTTGCCTCAATATGCATTGCACAGTATCTCTGATGTGCTTAAGGTAAGATTGTCATTACTGCTTCAAGCAGCCCCTAAGTATCAAATTAAGGCAACTAAAATTAATAAAGAAAACAGTGTCAAGAAAAGGTAATTAAATTGCAAATCACTAGTATAATATTACCTTCTGCATATCTAATATGAATGTCAGTCCTTCACCATTTTGAAGCTCAAGGGAATGTTGCAAATGTTGCATAAACCATGTCCAAGTCCTCTTAGTCTCTTTATCTACCACAGCCCAAACTAGAGGGCAGAAAGATTTATTACTGTCTTGACCAATAGCACACAATACTTGTCACTTAGCCTTCCTTTAAGGAATGTACCATCTAACCCAATCGGTGGTCTTAACCCAGACTTAAAACCCAACTTCATTGCCTTGAAACAGATATACATCCTAAGAAATTTTCTCTTACCATTAGATTGTGCCTCTTTAGATAAATCTATTACAATGTCAGACCCTGGATTACAACTTCTCAATTCAGTTTCATAACCCTCTACTTTATTGTAAAAGTCTACAAAGCTACCTTCTAAACTCTCCAATATCTCTTTTTCGTCTCTCTTGCACTCCGCTTCACTAATATTGAGCTCAAAAACTCTATGTAAATCAGCCTTCATTTGTTTGACCTTGTACGTGGGGTCACTTTGCAATTTGTCCTTGAAATACAAGGTTATTGTGGAGTAATCTACTGCAGGGTTATCATATGATTTTCCACATTCTATATGATCTACAAGTGTTTTGACACTAACACCAGGATTAATCATATCCCCAGAAATAAGAAGTAAAAAAGGACAGCCATCAGCAGCACATGTGTACCTCAATTTGTTTTTATCACTCTTCACCACAACAAGTTCTACCTTCTTAGTTAAAGCATAAAGTTTACAAAACTTTTTTGCTTCAGCTATGTCTTTGAAGGTCATACCCTTAACATGCTCCTTATAATCTTGCAAACTATCAGTTATATTTCTCTTTTTTTAGTGACGGAATTTTCTAATTCTTCTGTGTCATAATCCGAACTCAATATCATTCCATTATTACTGTCATCATCATTTTCACTACAATATGTACCCTCATTAATAATTGGTGCAAGTAAAAATGACTCGTCATGCATCAAAATATCAGTTAGATTAACAGACAATTCACACTCATCCGTAGCAAACAAGTGAATTGATTTATACTCACTAGATATAAAAGATACTAAGGGCCTAACCCTCTCATCACCTAATATTTCAAAATATTTTTCGGTTAAAGCAAGAACAATAAGTTCTTGCACACCCACAAACCAAACTTATTTGTGCTCATTAATTAAGTCTAAAAAAGATGTAAAGTCAGGATCATACCCTTTCCAATAAGTCACACTTTCTCTATCATAGTGTGGTTCTGGACTAGTTAGACACTCACCATCATGATAAAAGTAAATTATAACTTCAACCATTTTAATGACCTAGAAAGAGTTATGAAATAAGATAAGCAACAGTAAGGATAAGATAGTTAGATGAAATAACAGTGCGTTGTTCAACTATTTTCGACTACTCTTTAAACAAGTGTTTATTTTTTATGTAAAAAAAAATACATAGTTCATCAAAATTTACAAATTGTGCAAATTTAGTATAATCGTTATCATGGTATCTACATCATTTAAAGAAAATTACAATTTAAAGATATTGTGTTTCAATAACAATTCCATTCTAACATTGCATTGCTCAAAAGTAAACTAATGATTTTTTTAAGTTAAGTTACATTAGTTAAGTTAGTTAATCACATACAGTAAGTTAGTTAGTCACATATAATAAGTTAGTTATTCATATACATCAAGTAAGTCACATTAGTTCAGTTAGTTAATCGCATATAGTAAGTTAGTCACAGTAAATATGTTAAGAAAGCCATACTAGTTAAGTAAGTCACACAATAACCTGCACAGACAAATCCCAATTTTATGTCAAAGTTAGAATCTTTAATACAAGGGAAGGAATTTCATTTTTTTAAAAATTCAAAAGCAAGCTATATAGGCATTGGCAATTTAACTTTTTTCACATAATCAAATCTGTCACTAAGATTTTTCTTTATTATGTCATTATTCATAAGATGAGTGGAATTGATAATTTAAAAATTAGCATCCCAAACTATAAATTATAAGCCCTCAATCTAACTTTACATATACAAAAAAATCTTTACAGTTTTGATTTTTTCTCTAAACTATGAAAAGCCTTAAAAACTAAGTACAAACAAGTCCCAAATTTTTATTCTCTAATTGACTAAAAGTGGTCCACAACAAAAAATTCCTAAAAAAAAACTAAAATGATATGTAAATATGAATACAAGATAAAGAGATTCCCACAAAACATAAAATGGTAGGTAGACATAAATACATGATAAATTGGTGGTAGGGCATGAATACAAACAAATATTTCTTTAATACTTTACCAAACCAACAAATAAAAAATAATATTTTCAAGAAAACGTGAACTTCATTTCTGGAACGTATGCTTCACTAAAACCTAGGACGAATTACACTATAAAATGCATATTATACAAAATAAAGAAAGAAACAACAAGGAAAAAAAGCAACAACAGATAGATTTGACGAAAATCAAAAGGTAGGAAAACTTCGAAATTGAATGGGTACCTTTAACGAGCAAACGATTAATTAGACAGAAACAAGTTCGAATCTAGGAAGACAAAGTGAAATCGCAGCGAAGATGATCGATGACTAGGGTTTTGGTTTGTGAATCGTGGTGGAGACGACTAGGGTTTTGCGTGAAAAGCAATGGATCTTTCTTCGAGTGTTTAGATTATGGTGTGTGTTTAGGATTCTTTCAATGGGTTATGGGGCGGGTTATGGTTATGGGTTAAAAAAGGGATGAATGGGTAGTATAATAGGATCATGACACGTGTTATAAAATATGAGTTCTATAGTGACAAGGTTATATATGTACTACTAATTGAACGATAGGGATATACGTGTGCGCATAGTATAATGGAGGGTATATACTCACCTTTTATTGAAGTTCAAGGGTAAATCCATCTCTTTTCCCATGTATTAATAATACGTGGATTAGTTATGAGAAAATTAATTTTATTATTTTATTCAAGGATCAATTATG